GTGATAAATAACCCATCCCGATACGGGTTGACGCAAGAACAGGTATTACTTCATGAGCGGGTGATTTCATAGGCATGTAAACTTTCCTAACCGTGCTCGATGGTGAAGTCACGTAGGGAGAAAAAGGTAGTACTCGTCAAGCTGCATTTGCGCAGCTTTTTTCCTCTGTCTCCTTCCATCATGTAATGTGATGGAGAAATAAACATTTATTTATTAATATTTATTTATTTATAGTAAAGCAAGCGAGCTGGTTGTTGTTAGGTGTACTAAACCCCGAGGCAGGGGACAAAAAAAGGAACACAGGCATGTTGATACCTCCCCTTTTTGTCCTCCGCCGCAAGTGTGTAAAGCTGAAAATGTGTATGCTGATTCATGTCACCTTATGCCAGCGTGCAGCCGACTCTATACGAGCTGATGGTGGCAATCCCCTTACAAAAAACTGTGGTGCTTTTCTGGTGAAAGGCTGTTGAAAAAATTCATCGGAGGATATAAGATGTCAATAGCTTTTCATCTGACTTTCTATAGCTTTTCTGTTGAATTTCTTTTAAATATTGCTCCACTTTTTAATAAAAAAAAAGTAAAGAGACTTTCTGTCGCCTCCAAGATGCTTTTACTGTAGCTTTTCAACTGAGAAGCTACAGCCGTTTAAAAAATGTTTATAGCTTAGTTATTCATTCAACGAAGTTTGAGAAGGTTACTACGGCTTTCCGATCTGCTCCTAATTGGCTGCAGCAAAATAACGTAAAAAGAACACACGTAAATTTGTTATTTCCTTTTGGATTTTGTTATGAAATGGTGTCCCTGTGGTATTTTAAAGCGCTGCATACATCTTACAGCTACACATTAGAAACGAACACAAACACCACGAAGCACTGAACAGCTGACTCACAGTCCCGTTGACTGCTCCAGAGCCTTTTATGGCCTACATATTGAAGGTAATCATTTGGCCGGTGACCACCTCGGCACTTATTAAGGTCCCAGTTATCCGATCTCCTTCTCAGGAGTCTGTCAAAGCGAATATAGTGTTTCGCAGTTCGTGGACGATATCTCTCACTAAAAAGCTTCGGTACAACTAATAATAATTCGAAGCAGTCGCTAAAACAACATCCAGAAATACGGCTTCTAGAATAAATGTTATCGCTTCTTTGCATAGCACCACTCAGGATGAAGCGAGTCAAGGCAGTTTCTCCACTTTAAAGTAGTTATTTTGCTTTCCTTTACTTGTTGACTAGTTTAACATGGCCATTGAAGTCATGGTTACTTCAGAACAACAGGGCGTGTCTTCCGAACGCCTGGCCTCCAGCACGCGCCCCATGCCTTCCGTCGTGCTTTGACTGCACGCGCGCGCTCGAGGTGCACGAACGCCGAAGCGTTGTCAAGGGTAGTAGGCTCGCGCCCGAGGCGGGACAAATGAAGCTGCTCCCTACCGTTCTCACCTTGTCAGAGGCTATTGAGAAGCTTCGTGACTTTTGACATTTAGTCCAGGTGTGTTCAATAAAAAGTCAGCAGAAAGTCTGTAGCTTTTCTATGGACACCAACTACAGAAAGTCAACTGAACATTTTCAACAATAAGTAAACAGAACGTCTGCAGTCATTCTGATAACAATGTCAACAGGAAGTCAGAAGAAAAAAAAAAATCCCCGTAAAGTTAATAGTAAGTCGTAAGCTTTTTTTGTTTTTTTTACTCGGGCTGAAGATAATCATCAGAAAAGTTTCAACGTAAAATGAACAAACTTTCTGTTGACCATGTCAACAGGAGGTCAAAGTCAAAAGAAAGTAATCAGAGTCAACAAGAAGTCAACACGTTTTCAATAAGAGGTCAACAATCATTTTTATAGGGGTAAGCTACAAAAGCGCTGTGTCACGACATTCGTCATCTTTGTGTGGGTGTGCTGTGACCGGCTGAACCAACCAAGCCCAATACACCGATCTCAGCAGCCAGTTTGACTATGCCACCGCCGCTGCAATGCGTCGAGGAAGTCTCCTTGCGCTTGTGGAAACCTCGCTGGGGCGCATGTAGAGCACAAGACGGCACAAGCCCTCGGAAGCATGGCCGTCTGCCTCCCGTGAACTAAAGTTATGACGGCGTCATGCACGCGCCAAACGCTTAGTGAGGTTGATCTATTAATGCGCCGTGACCTTGCGCCGCTAGCTCTATCGGCTCCTCGAGGGTGACAGATTATGAACCGCGTCTTGAGCCCGCCACATAACCTATAGGTTATGTGGCGGGCTCAAGACGCTGTCGGGACACCGCCCAGGACCATATATGGTCCTGGGCGGTGTCCCGACAGGGCCACTCCCATCAGATTCGCTCACTACGTGTACCCGCAGGCGGAGTGCGAGGATGATATTATGAAATAAGTTATAATATATATATATATATATATATATATATATATATATAGTCAAGTCCGTTTATAACGAACATTAGGAAACGCTACGATCAGTTCGATATAGCAACTAATTCGATATAGCAAAAACCATTTACAACAAACTTTCACGATACGTTGGTTGTAAGGCGAGAGCTTCCCTTTCTTTCTTATCTCCTCGCTTCCGTCTTGTGACAAATACAATGCGCTGAAAAGTTTTCTTTTTCTTTTTTTTTTTTTATGCGTGCGGTGTATTTCTGAGTCGCTTCTCTTCGTAGGCAACAATTTTAGGATTAAAAAAAAAGTTTTTTTGTGCATTCGTGCAGTGTATTTTTTAGCTTTTTCCCCTTCTGAATCGCTTCTCTTCGCTCAATTTTGTTCCCAACTTGAACTTTTGGAATTTTCTTTCTTTCCTACTTTCTTAGGGGGGGAAGGGACAGGCTAGAAGACGATTGTTCGCGCGTTTTTGGAAGAATTCCCGGAGGGAAAAAAGGTTCGATATCCGTCATTATGTTCTTCGTTATAAAAAGTACTTTTTACATGCAATTTTATTTAAATTTTTTGTGAGTTCGATATCGGCAATAATTCGCTGTACGTGGGTTCGTTCTAAACGGGGTTTCGCTGTATATATATATATACAGGGTGTTTCACAAAACGTGGACGAATTCGATATTGCGAAAATTACGCGTCGCAACAAGTCTTGTGTCGTTGTGGTCCTGGGCCAGGGGCCTATTTAGGCAAAATTACTGAAGTCCCAGATAATTAGGTTCTTCATTATTTTTGCTTAACTAACTTTTTTTAATATTGCACTCAACCTCTGCTGCGCTGTCATCGCGCGACGCAGCAGAGGCTGGTTGCACTATCTCTCCACGGGGCGCGGTGCCGCCGGGACCGAGATGCGCTCCGATAGCCAACCGAAACTTAAAAACCCGTCAAATTTGTGCGGTTTCACAGAAAGCCGTTCGGCAATTTGTTGATTTAGTGTTTTTCGATGATGCTGAGCAATTTTCTAATTCAGATCATGCCCTTAAACACAATATTAAAAAAGTTAATTACGCAAAAATAATTAACAACCTAATTATCCTGGACTTTAATAATTTTCCTAAATAGGCCCTTGCCCAGTACCAACACGACACGAGCCTTTTTTTGTCGCGACGCGTAGTTTTCGCAATATCGAATTTGTCCACCTGTCGTGAAACACCATATATATATATATATATATAGTATGTGTGTGTGTGTGTGTTTATTTTCGTACAGCATAATGTTTGTGGATTACAGGGGAAAGCTGAAATCGCCGCTGTCGCTAGGCTGATCCTCGACGAAAGGCGTTAGCGTGTAGCGCAGGGGTTCCGACGAAGGGTGGGACTTTCCAACCTCGCAACGGTTCGCGTACTGTTAACTGTCTTCGGGGTGTCAGTTTCTTCCCCCCGGGCCTGGGCGGTTTCGGATGCAGCCAGCACAGCTTCTCTCGATCGCCGCCTACGATCTGTCGTCTTCGAAGAGACCATTTTTGCGTGTCGGCGGTTTCGCGCAAGCGGCGTCGTCGCTGCTCCTCGGTTTTCCGTTGAGCTGGCGAGAAGACCGCGGAGGAACAGTGAGCATAACGAGTGAACGAACATAGCGGGAAGAGCACAGCGGGAACAGCGCTCCTCACGAAAGCAGTCCAAACGAAAGACGGCTCCATGTACCGGGACAACAAACGCATTTCAAAGCTACGCTGGTTCGACGATCCGATGAAGCCAATGAAGCAGTGCCAAAAGTGTCATATATGAGCTCGGTCAGCGGCCAAAAGGGCACAGGACAAAGCGCGGGATCGTTCAGATGTGCCTGATGGCTCGGTGATGGCCAACGAAGTTGCTGATGGCTTTAGTCTCAGAGAGCAGACGCTCAAGGGCCGCCGTGACAGTGCACTTTTGGCGCTGTTTGATTGGCTCGTTACGTCGGCTGCGCCTAAAGGGAATATCGGCTGGACTGGCCCCTTCAGGGCGCCTCAACAAGTGCTAATGGACGAGAAACGAGTATACTTCCGCAGAAGAGGAATCCACAGTTTGTAAAATAGTGCGCGCCGCCTATCGCGCAACGCCCGAAACTTGGACATTTTGGGTGCGAGGCTGGAAAGTGGTTGGGATACAACTAGGCTTCGCGATGCATGGTTCGGCCCGATACATGTGGGGCGTAAAGCTCGTGCACGCAGTCTGTTCCAAGCATTGCCTCTAGACCCTGATTGAATAGTGTGAAAAATTCCCTAGGAGCGTACAAAATTAACGTGCCCTCGACAAAATACCCGCGGCAGATCCGGCAGTGGTCGTTCGGCTGCCATGGTGAGCCGTCCGTGTTCCTTCTCCTCACGGCAGCTATCCAAGCCTCTATGTTCGCAGGATGATGCCTGGCCGACGGAAATCTAAAAAGCTTGGCGTTCTCTTTACCGTCAAAGTAATTCGCGCAACCATACGCAACACAGTGCGCCGGCATGGCGACAAACAAAGGGATTCGCGAGCTTTCTTCGTCCTCCCTTCCGTACCTCTGTCGCAACCTAACCAAACAGGGGGCGCTAGCAACAAGCTCTCCTCGCGCATGCGCAGTAGCTTTTTTTGCAAATCGTGGAACTGAGCGTGCTCTTGGTGCCCGCAGCGACGCAGATCCAGAAGGACTACCGGGAGGCGCTGGTCAAGGGCCTTCCTTTCCCAATACTCACGATCGCCGAGTACCTGAGTCAGGACCTCGAGGGCTTCTGCTGGGGTCGGAGGTACCGCTTGGCCGGCTACTACGCTTTCGCCCTGCTTTGGTAAGGACAACGGCGCTCACCGTTTCGTGCTCACTTACAAACTCGTGCGATGTCACGTCAAAGCTCACGTGAGGCCTTTGATTGGCTACCAGTCGACAGACGCCTACGGTATGCCTAGCAGCCAGTCGAAAACGGCCGCGTCACGTGGCCCTATTCACGGCCGTCGTCTCCTGCCTCGTGATGCAGGCAGGCGGCTCTCAGCGTGTTTCAAGTCAGGTCTGCGCAGCTCATTCATCCCACAGAAGACACGCTGTGCACACATGAAATGGACGCGCCTGAAACGTCTGCGGAGCGCCTCAACTATCCAACATGTCTGCAAACATTGTCGTATGTGGACAGTGTCTCCAGACTGTATTGGCAGTGTCCCTTCAAGGCTGTCATCTTTCCGTCCTATTCACAAACACCGACAAAAACTTATAGAAAAAAAAAACCTTCGGGTTTTATTTTTTTATGCGAAAGGAAACCTTTGTTTGGACTGAGCTATCTGCCCGCTATCGTCAGCCGCCAGGTGCTTTGTCATTGAGATAAGAACACACCTGCGTGGAATGGGTAACTTATTTCATCGATGAATGCCTTATAATTATTTATTTATTTATTAGTTTCTGAGCCTAGAGCGTGCCTGTAGGATGAACGACGTCGAAGCGAGGCCCCTTTGTACCCGTGCTCGCGCCCCATGAAAGCTCTCGGCAGGAAGTTCGTTCGGGTCCGCTCTGAGGCCTGTCCGGGTTCGCAGGACGGCATTCGCACTGTGGCTGCTGATGAACGTGCTGCTGTGTGCCGTGCCGCGGTATGGCGCCTACGCCATGCAGCTGACCGGAGCGCTGATGCTGCTCAGCAACGCCATCTACACGCTGCTGATGCCTCGCAAGCCGCTGGTGATCCCGTTCCAGGGAGGTCTGCTCCGCTTCAGCTTCGGCTGGTGCTTCTGGGCCGTCATGGGCGCCGGTGAGTGAGGAAGCGGTAGGCCTAGCGAGCACCACGTGTCGCAAACTCTGCGCATCACCTTTAGTGTGTAGTGGACGAAATGCCTTAGGCCGTGTGTTTATCCTCCTACGCAGTCTCATCCCGCAGTTCGCGTTTTAGCTTTCAGTAACTTATCCACACCCTCCTTGTCTTATACTTGCTGTCGCGCAGCCGGCATGGCATCTGGCCCGAGTAAGACTCGTGAGTGAACACGCCATTGTTCGCGTTGGAACATATTTTACCTTAAAGCTACTGAAAAAACGAAAGACGTTCACAATCCCCTGTAACGTCGAATTAGAGCGCAGCTGTCGAGGAGGAGGAGGCGAAGGTACGAGAGGAGGGTATGCCCCTCCTCCTCATCCGTACCTCCCTCCTTTCCTTCTCCCCTGCCATTTAGCAGGAAATTTTCACTAAAGATCCCGCTAAATTTAGCGGGCATTTTTTTTCGGCTAAATTTAGCGGGAATGTTTTTCCGCTAAATTTTTCCGCTAAGAGTTTAGCATGGAATCGAGGAATTTTTTTCGCTGCATTTAGCAGGAATTTTTTCCGCTTAATTAAGCGGGGAATTTTTTTCCGCTAAGTTAAGCCTGGAAGCGAGGAATTTTTTCCGCTAAATTTACCGGGGAATTTACCCATAATGCAACACGCGGTGACGTCACACGTAACGTCCCATAGGGCAACGCGTGGTTACGCTGACGCCGCTCAAGCCGAAAACGTGCGCCTAAGAGCTGCGCTCTAAATCTACGACCAGCTCATTTATAATTACGCCCGCACTCGTGTTGACGCCTTAAAGGGTATTCGGCGATTTTTTTAGTCACCCCAACTAACCATATTTTCTGAATCCGCAGCGTTTACCCTTCCCTGTATGCTATATAGTATCGCGAAACTCATAACAGTTATTGTGAAATCGGCAAATGAAAACGTTGCAAAAACCAACATTCAAATATACCCGCACATTTCAGTACCGTGACGTCAGTGGCGGGCACGCTTGCAAGGCGAGCAAGCAGTCAAAAAAAGAGACTATGCCAATCATTTGTTCCGTGCTGGGGCGCGGGTACTGGAACGAGCTTCCAAAGCATTCATTTGACAGCATGAAATTGCTCGTAATTATTTGGGAATAAAATCAGAGTGGACCTATGCCTTCCACTGGCGTCACGTTTTCACCGTTGCCAGTGGAGACTTCCAGTTTGGAAAACACGGTAAGGATCAATATTGTAAACGTAGTTAGTGGTGTTATGAACATTTTTGATAGGTGCAGCTTTGCTCTCAGGTACACCTATGAAGAGCCTAGGGAAGGCATCTTACAATTTTTGGACCTTTCGCTCTCACTTGGCACCAACCAATTATGCTGGTCCTTACCCACGCTCCAAAAAGGGCAATTTACCTTACGCATCTGCACATTCAAAAATTGTAAAAAGGGGTATCGCACTTTCATGTCTTGGCTCTGCTCTAAAAGAATATTGTTTTCATTGTATTAAGGACAGCTTTAATGCCCAAATTCAAAGACTCCTGTCTTCCGGGTTTCCTGGGCCGGTGTTAAGTGAAGTGGTGCGTGTCTTGGTTAAAAAATAAAAAGTAAGAGCTAGGCGAGATGTTGAAGAAAAAGAAAAAAAACGGGTGGTAGTGGTACCGTACTTACACAAGGTATCGCATAACCTAAAACATGTAGTAGCTCAACGTTATGGCGTAGCGGTAAATTGTCTGCCTCCCCCCCCCCCCCCCCCCCCCAAAAGAAAAAAAAAAATGGCCCAAATTTGTTGAAAGGTTTATCTCGGCATAGAAAAAGTATCAAGTGACAGAAAAAACATGTCTCACCGTTTGTGGCCTGTACCTCGTGCGTGGTGTACAGCATCCATGTGGTAGAACTTATGTCGGACAGACAGGACGGTGCATTGACAACAGGCTTCGTGAACATTCCCTATCACTTAGATCCAACGTAGATGGTCACTTGCCTTTACACTGTCGTAATTGTTCATCTAGTTCAGCTCTGGCTAACAGTATAGGTAGATATAAGGAAGACGTTACCAGAGAAATTTATGAGGCGTTTATTTGCAGGGTTTGGGGGAGCGCTGCGTGAGCCAGCCATCAGTGGCTTTATCACAAAAATAAATATCCTTTTTAAAGCGTTCTCAAGCTATCGCCTCGCGCTCCGGAGTTCGCTAGCCATTAGCAAGTATATTCTCTGTCATGTTCTTTCTTCCTCTCTCTGAAAGCTTTCCTGCCTTCCGTTTTCTTCGACAGTTTCCTAACGTTGTTCGCTGATTTTAATCATGTTGAACCCGTACCAACTAGCCCAGCTCACCACCCTTCTACGGTTATATCACACTCGGATATTTCGAATTATTGTTTATATCAAACAGTCCAAACACCCTCCTGTAAAGATCGTGGCACCCCACGCAAGTAACTTTAGAACTACACGGATGGAGACAACAAATACAATGACTGGACGCTCGGCTGACTTAACCGAACGCGGCGTCAGCATTAGGCTGGAGTTCGTGTTCTCCGGGGATAAGCGGCTCTTTTGTTACCACTCCGGCCTGCATGAACAATGCAGCATGCAGGGTGCCCAACTCAGCACAGAAGCGAAAGCGGGACAAGCTCGCCTCCCTGGCGACTGCTTGCAGGAGAGACCCTGCACCTAGGGTCACTTCGTATATTGTTAGTATTTTTATATCACACTGTGCCCCGCGCTCTATTGAAGAAGATGACATGGACATGCCCACGAAGCCTGTGGGCATGTGCACAGGCCTTTTGTTGGGTAAACACCGAGGCGGGGGGACAACAAATGGGTCAGAGCGCCCCCTATATTTCGGTTTTTGTATCCAACTCCTATGGCGGGGACACTCGATATAGCGAACGAAGCCCGGCCGCCCGTCGCTTTTCCCGCGATCCGATTGCGCCGGTGGCGAGCACATCGCTCGCGTTGCGTGGCTGGCAGACCGCCAAGCCAGCATACACGCGGGAAGAAACGCAGTGAAAGGGCAGTTGTGGGAAAGAAGAGACAATGAACCGTGAAAAAAAAAAAGTGGAGGATGACAAAAGCAAGGGGAAGGGCGCGCGCGAGCGTAGGGAGAGCAGGGAGTGCTCGCTGTCGGAACGGTAGCCTGCACCCTTTCTCTGAACACTACCGATGCCGTGGGACTAACTTTAAAAAAAAAAAGGAAAAAAAAAAAGTCTTCGGCAAGTCGGGTGTGTCGAGAACGGTTGTGCAATCGCACTTTGGGCGCCTTATCTTTGTTTACCTTTTTCTTTTGCCGTTATTGCTTCGCCCATTTTTTTTTTTTTTGCGGCTTGAATTTAGTGAGCTTTTTTGTTGTTTAACTTTGTTCTATAGATCAAAAGTATTTTTTTGCGTCTCTCTTTTTCTTTTTTTTTTTATTATTATTTTTGTGTTTTGTCGTTTGTGCTGTCTGGAGGTTCCGGCCAGGCGCGCCTGGTAAGCGCGGCGGTGCTTGCGGTATCCGCCGCTCCACTGTATTTAGCGGTCCTTGGATGCTCTGTTTGGTAAGCTCCCGTTAGTCGCGACCTTCGGTATTGCAGAGACGCCAGGAAATTTCAACTGGAGCTTAGTCGAACATATTTTTGCATATCAAATTATTGATATATCGAACTATTTTGCGATCCCCTTTGAATTCGATAAATCCGGGTTCGACTATGTCGTTCATAAATTTTTATGTAAACTGTTCGCTTCTTCTTCTTTTTTTGTTTTTGTATATGTTGGTTTTTTATATGATCATTCCTCAATTTTGGCTGTCCCCCTCATGTAATGCATGATCAGATGCGTTTGAGGTAATAAATAAAATGAATGAAACGAAATGCGAAATGTTCATCGAGTCACAGTCCTGCTGCCTGTCGACTTGGAACTGTGACCACGACGACTGCACTGCACAGGTGTTTATGAAGCCGTCGCCCTTCAGGGCGGTGTCAGAGGACGTGGGCCAGAGAGGAAACAATCGCTTGCGCAGCTGGACTTAGACGGTGGAACTTCCGCGGAGGCATTCGGGAAGTTGCCTTCATGAGCAAATTTTCTTTCTATCGAGCTGTTTTTTTTTTTTTTTTTATGATTATTATTAGTACGTTCAATAACGCATTCGAAGGAGTGGCCCCATGTAATTCACGAGGTACACCCGTATCACTTGACATTTATGAAATGTTTTGTTCCACTTCGAAATGAGTGAATTTAGGCAGAGCGGTGCCGGAGATCTCGGCCGGTGAAGTCAGCCGTCGAAGAAGTCCCGCTTTCTTCCTGCAGGTGGCATAGCGGTTCTGTGCGGAGCGCTGGTGGCCGTGCTGGACGTGTGGTTTCCCAACAAGTTCTCCACCATCCTCGAAGTGGACTACGACACGCCGTACAGATACTTCGTCGGGCAGGACTACATTGACCGGAAGCCGAGCACCGTCGCCTCTCAGCTGGGCACCAAGGTCGGTCACTTCGGGGCTCCGTTTGCGAGCTTCCCAACCCTAGACGCGAACAACTTACTGGACGCGTGCGACAAGGCACAGTGGCGTCATGAAGCGGCTCCTAACAGAAGCATTTCGCATAGGCATCGCGTGTAGCAGCCTATCCTATAGTTTCTAATCGATGTTAGCTTGCTTGAGCACAGCGCTGTACGAAACTTTCGGGGCCACAGTTGACGCTAACTTTTTTTTTTCCATGCGCCCGTGAAAAGAGCCGCGATCATCTCAATTCTAGAGTCTACTCGGTCTTCGCCAGTGACCGAAGAACAATCAGATAATAAGAACAAAAAATAATTCTCATGTCGGTGTTATCTCTTTTCATTTCATTTTCATTCATTTGACCCTTATACGCCCAAGTGGTGCTTGACATTTGGGGGGGGGGGGGGGGGGGGGTGCAAAATTGAACTATAAATGAGACAACAAGGATGAACACTAGGTTACTTTTCTAACAATACAAGCATGATGTTAAATGGCGTGGAGAGCGGCAGTGGCAGATCGGAGAGTGCCACCTCGTGGGATGCAAACAGTCTGGCTCCATGGGGCATCACAGTAGGGGGCATGTTGGGAATGAAAAACACAAATAATTATACGAAGGTTCAAAGAGCAATATACACGAGACATAAATATTTTAGCATTATAATAAAGTGCAGGCTACGTAAAAATGCGGTCTATTAAAAAATGAACTAAACACTAAGAGGTTAGTGTTGAATAAAACGTATCGTTAGGAACAATGTTGACTACCGAGGTTGGCAAACCGTTCCAATCCCGTACTGTTTTAGGAAAAAAAGAGTTGATAAAGGGCGTCATTTCTACAGCGGATTTCCTTAACCTTATAAACATCGTTGCGATATGTAATCTGGCGGGTGAGGGTAGGCATTTCTCTCTATCCCAGTCCTACGATAAAATGTGTTATGAAAAAATTTCAATCGGAGGCTCTTCCCTCTAAAGCTTAACTCCTTCCATCCCAGGCTCTGTTTCGCATAGGTCATGCTAAGTAGCCTGACATAAATGTTGATTGATTGATTGATTGAACATGTTTTATTAATAAAAAAGAAGTAAAGCGCGTGCGTAAAACAAAACGGGTAGCCCGGTTATCTATATCTTTTCAAGTTTGGTTGTCGTGAACAGCAGTTTGACGGTCCCTGGCAGGGTTGTAAAGTACCTAGGTACAAGTAACTATAAATCGGTATCTAGGTACTTTTGTTGTACCTGAGGTACAAACCTAGGTACTTTCATTTCTCAGTATCTGTATCTGTATCTTAGGTACATTTTCCAGTAACTTGTAGCTAAGTGAAGTTACTTTTTACAGGTACTTTTATATTCACTTCGTCAAAATCGTAGAAAATACAATATAACATATAACTGAAAATAAATTATAATTACAGTCGTAAAGCAATATAACATCACGTAGTGTTTCCACGCAATAAATCGAACTCAAATTTTGCACTTTACAAAACTGAAAATGTTTGTAAAGAAAAAAAAAAGAAAACTGGGAGGACGATTAACCTTCGCCTTTAAGAGTTGAACGCGATAGGGTTATCGGGCCCCGTTCGCATGGCCTTCTCAATCGCTTCTCTTGAGTCACACAACGATCTGGTTCTTATGATACAACACTCCCGGCGCGATCGAAGAGCTTTTGCCAGTGCTTTGATGCCATTTTACCCCGCAAGGTTTATTTATGTGTTGCTCAGCACGCGCTAACAACACTCGATGCGATAATGCCTTTACCCTGACACAGACAGACATCGATGCACTTTAATGACGGCAGGATCGCAGTGTCATTCCCAAGCCCTCCGTTGCCTAGTCGGTAGCATGTCTGGCTCGCAACCGAAGGGTCGTGGGAGCGATCCTGCGTAAATTCTTCAAATTTTTCTTTAAGGCAAATGAATTAGTTTATCAAGAGGGATCATTTGAAACATGCGGCGACCAATAATTCGTATGTCTTTAACCACCTTCATTCCACGCGTGACGTCACGTTTCACATGAGCGTTGTGGGTTGTTTGAAATTCCCGCGCGAAGTCATGTGGCTGTGACGTCACGACCCTATCGACCATTCAGGAATTTCCCGTCACGCCACCGACGCCACCGACATCCAACGGATTTTCTGTGACACAAGCTCCTAAACGCGCTCGCGTTAAAATATTCTCTTCCTTCCTAAAATCATTGACACCAATAAAGCACGTTTATCAAACTTGTTTTTGTGTACATTCCAGTATACAAAGGATTTACTTCCAATAATAATGTGACAAATTTGAGAAAAATACTTGACGCGAAAATAAAAAGTACCTTTGAAGTAACTGTACGTGTACCTAGGTACATTTTTAAGCGAGTAGCTAGATACGCACCTAGGTACATTTTCGTATGAGTAACTGTAACTGTATCTTAGGTACAGTTTTGAAGTAACTTTTACAACCCTGGTCCCTGGTAGTGCAAGCATATTCTAATTTTGAATGGACATGTGAAAAACAGTTTTTCTTTTAAGGAACGTGGTACAGGCTTAAAATTACGAGCGAGGAAGCCAAGCATTTTGGCTTCCTCGCTCGCTTCCTCGTAGCTTTGAATGCGGTGATGTCTAGTTTGTCGCATGTACTGTCCGAACCGCTTAGAACGAAGCACGCCGCTGAAAGTGAAAGTCTCTTCGCAAACACGGGCGCATCTTTACAACTCCTGCAGAAAGCGGCGGGGGCTTCCCCGCTCTTTCTGACTGTGCGCAGGAAAGCCCCTCTGCGCGCGATCAGGGGTTCCCGCGCGCGCTTTTCGAGACGGCAGCTTGGCGACATGGGGCACGGCCTTTGCACCTGGAAGGGACGGATCTTGTCGGGAAGTTTTTATTGTGTTCCTATGCCATAGTGGCCTCGCTCAGCATGCGAGATGTGGGAAAGCAATTTTCCAGGCAAGGAGCAGAGAGCAGACGGCGATGCGCAGGCTGGCAATGGCAAAGCTGCCTGCTCTGCGGCTCGGAGAATCCAAGTATCTTTGCACTTATCACAAAACTTCTATTCACTACATCCATAGAAACCCTTCCGTTTCCTTCGTTTAAACCGAAAGCGCGCATATTGAAAAGGTGGAAATGGAAATGGGAAATCACTCGCAGATAAGAAACTGACAATTTTATGAAACGCCGCGTCTCCAACGCGAACTCGCTCTGGCAAGCATGCTGCTTTTGTATGTGTTTCTACATTGTTTGGAAGATTCGGTCGACATAGCTCGAACTTTCACCGAGCTGGCCACTAGCGGATATCAATCTCTAAAGACGTTATCGCATAAACTAAAGAGCTTTAAGTTTTCAAGGTATACCAAATAACCACGCGCTTTTTCCGACGTAATGTAATATACGAGGAGTTTGAAAGAACTCTTCGTTAATGAAGACAAGCTTACTTATGGTGATTTGATTCCAAAAGGTCTAAGCAATTTTCGGATATTTTCAACGAGAAAATGGTGGCCGACGGTGCCCGCAAATTCGCAAGGATGAATGGCGTCTGCTACCTGGAAGGAGTCTCATTTCCACGATGAACTTTCCGAAAATCGCCTGTCTTTTGAATTAGATAACGGTAAGTTCTGAAATGGACCTTTTCTACATACCGACGGCACCAGGCGGTGGCTGCACGAACTAAAAATCGAGGAAGTGACCTACCTGCGCTACCAATCGATAATGGGAGCTACGCTACCAGTTTCTTCGCTCTCTGAGCAGCGGCGCCTGCCCAGTGCGACTTGAAAGAGGGGCATCCGTGGCGTCCACCCAAACGTCGTGTTTTCCTCTCCGTCGACGTTCTTTTTTTGTGTAACACAATTATATATATGCTGCAGTTACGTGTTCTACTCGCTGATATACAGCCTCCTTCCGAATTTCCTCGATTTTTCGTTCCGACTTCCGCCGCTTGGCATCGGGCGCTCGCGCGTGCGCAGAACGCTCCTCGGAAAAGGTCCATTCTGCCATCTGGTCCCGACCGTTAGGGTTAGACTCGGGTAGAGACTGAGCCTTCGGTGACGCATAGTTTAGCTTTGCGGCGATGAAGGCACGGTTCTTCTTTCTCTAACATCCACCACTATGAAGTTGACGAGGTATCTTGACTGGCTGAGCTTTGGAGCAGCACGCCAGCACCGCCCAACAGTTTATCCATGAACAACACTTACGCCGGGAAAGACGAAACAAAGCAGAACTAAACACCAAACTATATGATTAACGATTGTGATAAACTTGCAGCTTTACAATGTAATTTGTTTATTATTGAACTCGGAAGAGTTGAACGCTACAGAGAATTTAGCTTGCATGCCATATCGGGGGATACACTCACTCACCAGCAGGTCTAAAGTCTATAACAATCACTCGCACTTGCACGATAAAGGGTATCACTATCCAAAAGCGTCAGTCATTCAGATCCCAAAGCTCATCCGCGCCACAAACTCGCTGCCCTTCGCGACATTGAATTCGGCCGTCGGAAACTCATCCCCATCGCATCACCGGCGACTATGCCATGCTGTGCTCGCATGACGGTTATTCCGATGGGGACATCAAAATAACAATAAAAATTGGCAGCAATGTTTCTCTCCAAGGTCCTAGTTAAAGGTGCGACCGTTTAAACTTGTTTACAAGACTTTAAACCGTCGTCTCAGGGAATGAAGACGAACCTTTATTTTATCAATTTCCCCGGTACATTGAGCGGGGAAACTGGGTGCGTCCGTCACCTGACGTTGATTTCTCCGCTACATTTAGGGGAGGGGGATAAATTGGTGTATGTCACGTGACGTCAATTTTCCTGCTGGATTTAGCGGGGAAATTGTATCGATGTGCCCTTCACTGGGTCCCTGCAGGTGTAAGTGCCACGTGTCGTCAGGATAAGTGGCATTGAATTCCGGCTAAATATAGCGGGGAAAATAAATGGGCTTGTAGCAGGTCACGTGATGTCAGTTTCCTAGCCGACTTTGGCGGGATAACTTCGAGCGTGTCCGTTTCAGACGCACCGACACCGTGCGAGTTCTTTCCCAGAATGCACCCCACTCTCGGAGTGTCGCACAGTGCAGCGGTCCCGGACCAACTGGCCGAGTACAAACTGATGCTGTCGCTATGTTGCAGCTGGCGCTCTTCGGCCTCGGCAGTCCTTGCGCCATAAAAACCCAATCCAATCTATGTTGTAGAAAGAGTACCGACCTCAGACCGAATTTAGCGCCCTGCTGTTCAACACGACGGGCTGGAAGGCGAAAAGATCGCAGCGATGTTTATATTTGCGATGACTCAAAACAGCTCGACTGTCGAGGAGATATTTACAATGTACGATTCCGACCCAAGCTGACAACGAAACAACTGTAAGAAATAACAAAAAGTGAGCAATCTTTCAATTCGTATCGCATGTTTACACTGGAGAAAACACCGCTGATAATATTTGCGGAGAAGCTTGATCAGTTTTACGTGTGAACCATATTGAAAGGATACAGTTTCAAACTAGTCCGTTGGAATCCCTAGCGATACGTTTCGCAGCACCTTTGACTTCAATCCTTGAGGAAAAAGAAAAATAAAGCTGGAGGTACACCTGAGCCCTTCTTATGAGTTGTGAATGCGAAAGCATGTACATGATTCTTGCCCTCGGCGTGTTGGCGCGCTGACTGGCCCTGACCCCATGGCGCTGCGTGTCCGGCGAATGGGTCGACGCTTGCCAGCCAATGGGACCGAAGTATAAAAGGTGCCGTTGGCTAGCTCAGCGACCTGGTTTCATAGCTAGGAGCTGGCTTGATGTGGAGATGGATTTAAGAGCCGTTTGGAGCGGTTTCAAAGCTGATGACGTCGGCTCGCTCCGTGAGACAGTTAATGAGCATCAAAAAGAATTTGTGTTGCTTGTATGTTTCTACGGTGCTAGCATGCCTGGACGGGTGACCTGTCTCTTAGAGAACGAGCGTACTGGCGCACGCTCATTCTCTGGGTACAGCGCACGTGCAGCGAGCGCATGTACGCGTGGAGTGCCGCGCCCAAACAAACTCGGAAAGTGCGGCCACTCCTGTAGTGTCGGCCGGAACAACTCGCTCCACGCTGCGAGTGGGCATGCGTGGGCACGAGTGCAGTGAAACCAACTCGCCATTAATTGGTGCATAGATCACGTGACATCAATGGACCTCACATGACCTAAGCACCAATTCAGTTTCCCTGCTAAATTTAGCGGGAAATGCACGGACGGATGGACGAAATTTCGGGACTGGAAGTTCCGTTAAAAAAACATTTCAACCTAAAAAAATTGCTGCCGAAATTGTTGCCAAGTTTTTCGTTGAAATGCGATAGCATTTTTCACCGTCTTGTGCTACGTAAACAAATCTGGCTTAAACTGCTTGGGAACTGCCGTAGCAATTCGAGGAATATTTTTGACGACGTCCAGTAAGTGTTCTATTTAAAACCAATTCCCACAATTCTCTAACCTAACTGTTCACTTACCGCGGACGGGCCTCCCGCAGTCAAACATGGACTTCTCTCGTAGCATTACTGCAATTCAAATGTTGGTTACAAACCGAGCCACGGACGCAAAAGTGCAAAGGGTTAGCTCCGATATGCTATTGCATTTTATCCAGAGCTTCGTTGAGTGCGCTTTTCCGCAGTGCGCGACGCCATAAGGAGAAGCAGCAACGGCGCTCGCAGGGGCGTATCGAGAGACGGAGGAACGACGGGAGAAAGACGGGCTCCCCCAACCCAATCGTTTATAAAGAAATATCTAAACTGTCGAGGGGGTTCGGTTCTTCTTGACATGTCCCAACCACGTTTTGGAGTAGTAGGTCCTGCCTGCATGTGCACATGAGTCCAAACAAGGCACGAAAATAACGAACCTCGTAGGACAGAATTCACGACGAAGCTCTCTGGGAGGTCTCAGAAAGGCAGATGACAATATGCTGTTGGAATGGCAATCTCGTGAAAATGCAATGAAAGGAAGCAATAGCAAAAATGACACGCCCTGCTAAGACCGGGTATTGTGCGATAACACTCGCTCGACTTTGTTTAACATGTGGTCTCTCTGCAAAATCAAACCAAAATGCCTCACTTCCCTTCTCGAGTTGTTGGAAAAACATAGAAAAGGCAAATGGACTGCTGTAATGTTCCATGTGAACCAAAACGGTATGTTAATATAATGAGGCTCAAAAAAGCACTATGATAGTACAAGGACACCGAGACGAGGGAGCAAAGAGTGGGACAAGTACGACACCGTTTCCGAGTTTTGTTCTCTCGTCTCTGAATTGTTTTTTAATATCATCTCCCACCAGCTCGCCTGCACGCTAGCTCTTATTTCAGTAACCTCTTGGTAAAGCCTCAATCTAGTTGATCTGGTGGCATTTTGGGTCAATTTTCGATACACTGCTGCAGGCAAAGTGCCAGCGTGACTGAGCATGCTTCCTGGTGTGACGCAGATGAACGTGGTGGGGCCGGAACCGTCCTCGTCATCCCAGGCAACCGAACTCGAGAGCTCCGACGGCATCGTGAATGCCGCGTACGAGGACAGCGACGACGGCAGCGTCATCATCGACGGCAAGAGGGCCGTGTCCTTGCACAACTTCGGCAAATACGCTGCCAAGGAGGAAAGGCGCCGCAGTCTTCAACCGGCATCCAGCAAGTATGTGCGAGCAAACATCGGATGGTGGCACTGGTTTTGTCAGCAGCGCTGTGACAGTTCATCGATGCTTGTCCTGTTAAACAGCTTGGCTGACATTTCACGGAGGAATATCTTTATATAGTACTATGCCTGGTTTCTTCCTTTTTTTTAACTGCTAAAAGTAGACGCGTGGTTCTGGTCGAAATGTACAAGTGTCACACTACCTTAAATTTTCATAGCATTACTATCGGATACAACCCGCTATTTTCGCATGTGCTTCTTTCCCACGTGACCAGGTGAGGCTTGACTGCATGCCTCGCAGCAATGCAGTAAAGCAAATAACTGCGCGAAGGGAAACGAGGGTTCGCTTTACTGCAATGCCTCGGAGCAATGCAGAAAATCATCCTCACTTGGCTTCTTAGCACCATGTGCATAATGATATTTCCAAGCAGGGGCAGATTTATGGGTCACGCTTGAAGGTGCCGGTGGGCATTCGGCTGGTGGAAGTGGGGGGGGGGGGGGGGGGGGGGGGAGAAGTCTCAAGAGAGACCTAACGCCACTAACGGATGTGACATCACAGGAAAAGCGTTGGCCAGACCTGTTTTGTTAGCCTTATATTTACCATCTTGTTAAAAACTAAATACCTGTGTATTCCCCAAAAAAGCTCATATGTGTCGTATTTTTCATACAAAAATTGCCCTTGGAAAGATTAAAGGGGCACTGACACATCAAAATCATATTTTTTTTTTAGTATCCGAAACGATTGAAAACGATGCCGGGACATTACCCTCAAAATTTGAAATTTGGGAATTCAGTATTTGTGAAGTAAAAAAACAATTTCCAAATGCCGAATTCAAAGTTCCCGCGCGATCGGCCACGGTGCCTTGACGTCAAAAATTGCGGAGCCCTGAGAGTTCACTTTCTTTCACCACTCCCTGCTGTTGCCATGGCGACCCAAAGCGAGGAGGAAAGGGGCGGGCGCCGGCGTTGCGGTGGACCGGTTTTGAGCGGTGTCGCCTGTTTTCCGTTGGAGGATACAAATCCAGGAGACGGCACCACAACGAACTCCCGATTTTTGGTATTTCAAAAAGAAGGGCCGTAGTGCGTTCGTAATTGCGTTAAAAAACATGTTTTAGGATTGCCGTAATTAAATGTTATGGAGATGTCGCCTACAAAGCTTCTAAATTTCATGATTCTTGACGTCACCGATCAAAAGCAGCGAGGAGGCGAGAGGCGGGAAAATCAAACACCAAAAATAAAAAGGCGCGCGCGCGCGCGGGGAAATTTTTTTTTCGCGATGCGTTTTTTTTTTTTTTTTTGCGTGTCTATGACTGCAATTTGCATCGTTTTAGACAATAAAAAAAAAATACGACCTTTGGGGTGTCAGTGCCCCTTTAAAGAAAGCGGTTCCCCCCCCCCCCCCCCCCCTTTCCCTAGGAATTCCCCGGTTCCCAAGGTGGGCCAGATTTATGCCTCAGTGAACTTACGAAAAGCACGCGGGAATTCGGCATAGCTCCCACATCGCCATCTGCATGGTTAGCTTTCAGCAGTTATGGTCACTCAAAAGATCACCCTACAAGAATGTTGGCAAACTTGCCTTTTTGTTCCTACTGAGCATTTTGTTCAAGTTGAGCGGGTGGGTCGTACAGTTGACATCTCATCTCGAGGACTTTTCATGCGACTTCATGAGGCGCGGCTTTTGTGCATTTGTGCCATTACTTTGTTTATGCCTAGGCTTGTGAAATGATCACACTCATGTAATAGCCCTAACTTCGAAGGACCCAAATTAAAAATAAAAGTGCTGTTTGCCTTGCCCACATTGGCCGTTTGTCATGCTGTGCAATGAGTCATTCTTTTGTTTACAAGCACCTCTTCCTTTTGCGACAATGCGACAATGCGCTTTAGACACAAACTTCACAAAAGGACAGGCTTCCACCACAAGTGCATCCAGTGGTCTCGATCTTATCCAAGCAAACGTTGCTCCCCTGCGTTATGGGTGAAACAGAGCAATAGCGGCTATTACATGAGCGTACACAGCACTTCGTTTCTGCCGCTTTTATCTTTCTTCCTAACTCTTGACCCTTTGGTTCTCCTGCAGGCTGTCGTCTAGGGAAAGGACTTATGAGGCGTCAGAGTGTTAGGCCTAGCTTAAAGGCCTAACGAGCACCGAGGAACCAGTGCCGGCGCTTTGTCTAATTTATTCACGTTTTCTCTGCTGAAGACGGCAAAAGTCTGCACCAGAACACCGAACAAGAGTGCCAAACAAAACGTGTTGTGTAGTTGCGTCTTCAGGAGAGAACCTCGCTTAATGGTCTATTTATTTACAATAAAGAATATTTATGAAGTGTTCCTTTTGTTAGCCTATCACACTGCAACGGTAGTTCTTGCACATACCTAATGGTCTCTTTGAAGACCTTTGGTCACATCTTGTGCCATTTATTTCCAATAAGCCCTCATATTTTTGTCGCATAGTTTGTCAGCTCTTAGCATTTTTTACCATTGTAAAGGTTAAGTAGCTTTTAAGTCTCAACTGTGTGAAAAGTGGACATTCTGGTGCCTGTGCATGATGAGTGTACAGTATTACCTGTTTGATGCCCAAAAGTATGAAACCCAAAACATGAGGCAAGCTATGGGGGACTGCTCCAGAGAGGCAAAAATTTACCTTCATTATTCAACATATTCCACTCGCATTGCCGGCTTGGAGTTCATACTGATGGGTTGTATATACAGTTATCTGCTCCTTCCCTAGCTAAGTGTGGCATTACTATAACAAATGTGCCACACTGACATTGGTGCACCTTTCTTAGAAGATGAACAGGCTGGTATCAAGAAGCAGAGCCTCTTTAAATACCAGCCTCCTTTGCCACTATGTAGGGTATGCTGCGTTAAGCAGCAGTGCTATGTAAGAAGTGCCCCTAAATACCGTAACGGCTTTTTATTTTCAGCTTTACCATTTTTGCAAAACATAATTAATAGAAACATATTGCCAAAAACTTATGACCATTAAATTGCACCGTGGTGTTACCTAGTAGATTCCCAAACCTCTTCTTCAAATGTTTTCCCCACAAAATGTTGAAACAAAACGTGGCACCAATTCAGTCTAATATATATAAAACATGCAAATATAAATTTGTTTCCAGTATTTGTTGCATGCTCCATCGATGGTCAAGTCTATATTGTTCCCCTCCCCTTGACACGAGCTTCTTGGTTCCAGGCGGTCTGTGGGATCCAGCTTCACGCTGACGCCGGCCAAGGATGTCAACATCAACCTCCAGTCAGCCGCCATGTGGTGACCAGAATGCCCCGGCAACCAAATGCGGACAGCGCACAGTTCTGTCGTGCGACCAGTGCATGCGGGGACAGTGCACCGCTTGCACGCAGCGAGACGCTTTTCCTGTGTCCTCAGCGCAGACACAGAATGTCATGGGGGACCCAAGGTCACAAACGACAGAGCCTTTCCTCAGCTTGACTTTCAAACCCCTTCTCTTCGAACGGAAGCCACGTTTCTTGGAGTGTGTGTGCGAACGTGTTGACACATTCTTGTTTGCAAGCTGTGTGAGCAGCAGCGTTTTTGTGCCCGTCTGTCTGGTGTGGGGGAATGAGGTCTGTTTGCAGGATGAAGAATGGACAATGGCGGAGCTATTACCATGGCAGCGACAGGTTGCACAATTCAGTAGCTTGTGGAGCAGTGGCCCTTTACTCATGAACCTGCCAAGCAAAACCCACGGTGTGGTTTCGAGACACTCCGTTTTAAAGAAATGATTTGCGTACTCCATTGGCCACCATGTTTTCAAATGGGAGATAGGAAACTGGACCAGCTCGTTCTAAGGGAGCAATAAGAGCTCCGAGGACAATTGTGAAGGCATTGCTTCACAGCGCACTAGTCATGGGACAAAACAGTGGGATGTGCATCTGTGCAATACGTTACCTATATGTTCTTGTTAGTGTGACTCTGAAACACTGTTGAAACCCTTTCTCTTACCCAATATTAGCTTTTCAAACCCTTAACGGCATTGCAAGTGTCATGTGTGTCAATCTGACACGGCAAGTGCTCAATCATCAGTCGCCACATTTAACTTGCAAGTTTAAGTTTGAAATATAAGCTGAAGCACGTTTTCCATGTGCAGCACTCGCTCCTGCATTTGACCCTTGTCTCCCTCCAGTACGTGGCGGCTGATGGAGCACTTGCACTCGTTTTTGCTCATTCCAACATGTACAGGGAAGCATGTGAACAACCTGGGCGTGCAGTGTTCAGGTGCATTGCTTGGTTGCCGGGTCTTGAAGAAGAGCAGAGAGATGAGCATGACACGGTCACGCCCGAGCTTAGAGCACACGTCTCTCACAGCACCGCATGAGCCTATACCTATGGAATGGACCACAACTATGCATAAAACCGCATTACAAAAACCGGTAAAATATATTAGCTTCTCAGCACATATGCATTCGGTCAAAATCGGGTTTTTCAATATTACGTGTTGCAATTTCTTTAGATATCAAAATTTATTACTTGTTGTTCTTCACTTAAAACCAGAAAAGCAAACTTTAGATAAAGGAAAGTCCTCGGGAAGCAGAGGTGTGATGCTGGCTTGATGCTCTTCCTCAACCTTGTCTCGAATGGTCACTGAATAGGTCCTAACCTCATAGAAGCCTGCCAAAGCAACAGGATGATACCAGAAATCCAGCAGGTACAAGCATTTTTCTCGAAGAAACTCGTGAGCTCTGAAGCAATGTGCTGTCCGCACAATATAGCATTATTCCCTGCTGCCTCACTCCCGGCTGCAAGCACTAGAGACTTGTCTTCAGCGTTGTGTAAATAAGCCATACAGATACTCTCACATTTGGACTAGATGGCCTTGGCAGGAACCACAGGTGTCCAGCAATCTGACACTCCTGGTGCACAGATTTTTTTGTCCCTTTTGATTTGGCCGTGCGTTCCGAAGTGTGCCGAAGTGGTTTTGGCGTGTGTTTTCCTTTGCCCGGCATTGTTTCCTAGCAGAACGATTGTCACTGCCTGGACGTTTGGAAGCTCCATCCGAAGTTTGCTCTATGGAATGCATTTGATGAACATTGCTGCCAGAGGATGTGCTTGCTGAAGTGGAGTGTGTGGCCCAAGGGCCACGGCCAAAGCTGGCACGGAGAAAGTGATAGACCGTCGCCATACTTCTCAGATAGTGTGCATTGGACAAACGAAGGCAAATGTTAGCATTGTCCTTCAGCGCACCGTGTCATGTTGAAACCGCGATAGAACCCTGGTCAAACTTCCCCCCCATGAGTGGTTCAGTCTCCAAAGACTGCCCTTGTTATTCCTGGAGCCACCCCATGTTCACAGAGTGCCACGTTCCACAGCCTCCGCCAGAGAACAAAATGGTTGCCAGGAGCCACTGGGTAACACCACTCGCAATACCCAAATGCGGGTGTCGGAGAGAAACTTTGGGGCAAAACCTGGCCACCCAGTGCACACGCACCGTCAATGGAGACTGGAGAGTTTCGGCCCTTCTCGCACTAGAGATCATCGAGTGCATTCTCAGCATAATGGGACCCATCCAAAATCATGAGCGGTATTTCTTTAAAAAGAGCGCAACGAGAGTGTTGCCGGAAAGCAGACAAGTATACCCCGGAACGCCAGCCAAATTGTTCCCGCGAAAAGTATGCGACGCACAGAACAAAGGATGATGTATTGACCTCTGCCAGAGCACCTTGCCTCTCATAGGAGAGAAGGAAGTGTTGCACGAGTGGGCACCATGAAGTGCTGTGCTGTTCAAATGACATTGTAAGAATAAGTTTCGGTTCCTCGGTTTGTGGCAGTGCACTTTAGTTGTGCGCTTTGGCCACGGAAAGCAGGACGTTGGCGCAAAGATGTGCTCGGATAGAAAACCAAAACCTAGAAACGCGTCCAAACTGTTTTCTCGGAACGCCGTAAAATCCCGCATGTGCGTTACATCTTTCCAAACTAGGCCGATTTAGTGATTTTCATAATGCCCAACCATTTTCTAATTGGAACCTTACTTTAAATTTATTAACTAAAAATTCAGTTACAAAGAATATACAATTATCTAATTAGAGCAAAGGTTATCAATTTTCTGAATAGGCCCTTTGGTAGAAACCAATACGACATCAACCATTTTTCTGTGTGATGCACAGTTTTTGCAGGAACGAGTTGGCCGACGTGCCGTGCCCTGTACATTAATACCGGGGCTCGCCTTAAAATTGACTGGGAAATCTAGGCTCACACGCAGTGATCTCAAATTTTCATGGAAGGTATATTTTAGTGGTGGATTTTACCCTTGCAAGTTTCAAGGTATAGCTCCTTTGCTGCCAAAAAATGAGGCCAGCACCCTTGATGCGGTCAATGTTGGATGGCGGCACAGACAACCGAGTTACGTGAGAGTTTTTAAATTAAAAAAATTTATATACACCAGATAAAATTTTAGTTTTTGGTGACACAGCAAATAGTCGGTCAACCAAATAGATCTGGGCACAGTTTCGGCTGTGACGTATCTCAACGAATGCCCTCCACCCCTGCATCTCCGGATAAGTGCAGTGAGCAGACGACAAGCTGGGTCAACCGCAGACAGCGCAGTCGTCTGCTCACTGCCCCTGTCGAGAGATGGCGCCACAATCGAAGCCCTCAATGAACTCTGCCGTCTTTGTCGGCACCCACCGCAGACCGCGTGGGTCTTGTATCGCAGAAAACACTCCTTGAAACTTGCAAAGGTAAAATCCTCCATGAAAATGAAAATTTGAGATCGCTACATGCAGCCACGGGTTTTTCTGGCCAGCCTTAGAGTGAGCTCCATGACTGATAACACTCTGCACGTGCAAATCCAAAAATGTAGGAATCTATGTCTGTGCAATTAATGTTGCGAGGTTTTTGTTAAACATTTGACTTAATAATAATAATAATATTTATTTGCATACAAAAATCTGATCCTGAGTGGCGTGCACGGCTGTGCAGAAAGGTTAAAACCCGTACGCGAGTGCGCCTGCCAGCCCGCCACCTAGGATTCCTTGTCTTGAAAACTATAACAGGATTCCTTTCACAGTCTAAAAGAAAGAATAATTTCAATCTTTGAAATCCTTCCCACCTTGTTCACAATTTCAGATATATAAAAGCCAAACAGGAGGCTCATTAGTATGGCGTACTACTAGCTCCGTCAAATGAGGATGCTCGTGTATTCGACTTTATATCGAAGCTCTTTTCAACTGGAAACATGTTACTTTACTGTCAGCTTGGCTGACCTTTTGCACGTCCCTGGGGGGCTATGTTGCGCTTTTTGCACTCCCAGGAGACTAGGGAGAGGGAAGCGACGTCAACGACACAGCAAACGCAGATTGGATGTTGATTTCGTTTTCTTCTGTCAACATCCAATCTGCATTTGCTGCGTCGTTGACGTCACTTCCCTCTTCCAAGTCTCCTGGGAGTGCAAAAAGCGCAACATAGCACCCCTGGATGCTTCCTACTGGAATCCAAAATAACATAGTGCCCTTAAAAAGAAAAAAAAAAGAGGGAAACCATTACGAAGTGTTTGAGCATCTGCTGAAGACATCAGCTTTTTTTTCTTTTAAACTCGCATTGTGCACATAGCAGGAAATGCCTCGTCCAACACAATACAGGGACAGCCACTTATCTCTTTCCCTTAACTGGAAGCACAGGGGTTGCAAAGATGTCAGAACGCCGAGCTCTTATTGGCTGATTGGAAAAAAATAGTGGGTAGACCCAAGGCATCTAGCGTTGAGGTCTACCCACTATCCTCCCAATCAAGGCCACTCAGAGCTCGGCGTCGTTCCGATGTAATTGCAACTCCAGCACAAGAAGCAGACCACTTGCTCTCCGCACTGTTCTGTTGCATCAACATTTCTGGAGGACGAAAAACTGCTCCCTGCGATTTCAGATTAGGCCTCGGACAACTGGCAATGCGCCAAGTGTAGCTACTCTCTAGCGTAGCTCTGTACTAAGGCTTCGACGAGATACGGCCGAGCGTGGGAGATGCGGCACTCTGCGAACATGGGGCGTGCCCGGTTGTTGATCCTGCGGGGTGGCGCTCTTCCGGCCCCACGTCCGACCCCTGTGATGCTCTAGTCGGGGCTCCGAGAGTCCCGTGCGTGCGTGTATGTGTGTGTGCCCGTGAGTGCCGGGAACTTGCGTCGGCCGCCTGTTCTGAGGCTGGTCCATCAGAGGGACTCGCCCCCTTCCCCAAGAGGCAGCCGCCTGCTCCCTGCACAGGACCCCCAACGCCCTTGTGGCGCCTTTCTCAATGTAAGCTTTGTGATAAGCGTACGCGAAATAAACGGAATAACCATCTGCCGGACTCTCCTGCCCACCGGAATTGCTCGGTTCTCTCCAGCACTGCCGTTTGCATGTCCACACACCTTCGGGGCTACGACGCACGTGCTCCAACATTGCCTTCTTCCGGCACACGATGCAAGCATGTTTGAAAAAGTGGGTTGTATTCTTTTAATTCTCTAACAAGAAAACTGTTAGGGGACTGGCAGAGAAAGAAAAAAGGGGACAACTTTGCAACGGTGTCTGTCCCCCTTTTCTTTTCTCGACCACTTCAGTTTTTCTTTCTCCTGCCCTAAGCTCGCGTTACTGTCATCACGGTAAACTTCCACCAGCTCGCTGCATTTTCGTCAGTGCTTCAAAAGGTATGTACTTTGAAGTCAGGAGCTGTACTTTCCTTCGAAAGTACCAGAAAGAATATACTGTAAACGACTTATTTTTTGCGGGATCAATATTTTGCAATTTAGGTCAAAACTGAAGTTTTTCAATAATTTGCGGGTTCAAATCTTCGACGTGGTGGGATCTCAATATAAATTCCAATGTGTTTACATTTTACCGGAATTGTTCGCAGGACCTATTTCTCGCGAATTGTAGGTGATTCGCGAAATTCTCAGAAATGAGGTTTTCGCAAAACTTAAGTCGTTTACAGTACAAGTACATAGTCAGAAAATGTACAGTCGGGAGCCAAAGTTTGCGGGGCACGGGAGCGCGTGCCGAAATGCATAGACGCGCCCTCCGACGGCGAGTCGCCGCATTAAGGAGACGCGATTTGCGCATGCGCGCCTTTCGTGTTCGCATTCATGTCTCTCTCGCTTGTTTCTTTCCGACGCACTCCTGATAACAGGAGTCGGCGCCAGGGGCGCGAGTTAGCGCTTCGCTGGCTGTCATGCTGCGCGTCTGCTCCAGCCGCCGCGCTTTGTCAAGGAGCTCGCGTAGGGAAGGGGATTTGGTTAACCAGGCGCTCCGTCACCCAGCGCGGCTGCTGTGGCGGCTGAAGAGGACGGCAGGCATGACAGCCAGCGAAACGGCAACTTGCGCCCCTCGCGCCGACTCCAGTTATCAGGAGTGAGCCGGACAGAAACGAGTGAAAGAGATATGACTGCCAGCACGAACGGCGCGCTTGCGCAAAGCGCGGCTTTTTAATGCGGCGGCGCGCCGTTGCACGGCGCGGCGATGCATTTCGGCACGCGCTCCGGTGCCCCGCAAACTTTTGCTCCCGACTGTACTTCAAGTAAAAGTATGCTTAACCCCTTTAAGTAGTACTTTAAATACAATGTACTTAAAGTACTTCCAAACACTGACAATAATAAATGTTTGTCTATTCATTCATACAAGTAGCTTCTTGACCCTGGACAGCTGCCAAGTGGCAATGGGCCAAGAAGGTTAGAAGTACTAGGAGGGGGCACATTGCAATATTGGTGAAGCCTAGTCATAAAAAGTTTAAACAATGTTGTGCCCAGCGTGACCACCGATCTCTCTGGCGATTGGTGCGCGTGACATGTCGCGTGCGAGATGGATGGTTGATTGTAGAAGGATTCCTTGCAGGCTTGCGCGCTGCATCCGGTAGGTTTTATCAGATCGAAGGCTAGAGGAAGGCTAGCCACGGTCACGTGATGTGGTCACGTTGGCCTGATAAGTGAGGAGGGTGAAGAGGAAAATGGGAAAGAGGCGAGACGTCAAGGGAGCATGGCTTGTGGAGGCTACACGGCCGACATCATGTCCTACTCTCCTATCCTCCTTGCGATGGGCCATGTGCGCATTTTGTTAGGACTAACCTGGCAGCAATATTTTGAACTACAGCACCGCTCTCAAACACATTTCAACAAAAGATACATTTTAACTTGAGGCTCTAGATTTTGCATTTCTCGTTAACATTCTCGGCTATGCGAGCAGCATGCACTTGCATGGAGGATACAGTAACACTGAGACAAGGCACTCACAAGTGCTGCAGACATCTTTGCCTCAATATGACTGCCCTCTCCAGTTCTCCTAAGAGTCAGAGGCAGACTTTCCAATAAGCGGAGTAAGCAGCTGAATTTTGGAATGCCCATGTTTGGCATCAATATTTTGTTTCTAACAGACAAATGAAGGAGGGGCTACAAGCACTGGCTTCTGGTTGTGCCCAACCTGGTTTAAATAAAACAAAGCCCATCAAGGTTAAGTTGTTGAAACCCTTTATTTTAAAAGGAAAGAGATGGAAGGGGGAGCAGACACTCAACTCGTTAGTACTCATGACAATGGTGCTTTCAAAATTCTTGCAGTCACCTTTTGGAGTTAAGAAGGCATTGTACCATTTCAGTTTTAAGTTTATTCTGTTTTGTATATCAAAGCATGTCGAACAAGCAAGATTCTGGCACATATGCGCCCTATGGAGACACCATCTTGTGACCAGACGTATGCAGGGGGCAGACTATCGGAGACTCATTAGCAACGGCTCAAACCGGAGCAGGATGGCTAAGCTGTCCCTCCTGATCACATGAGCCGGTGGTATCTCAACCACCGACGGAGACCCCTTCTGGACTGGCAGACATGAAGAGCGACCCCATCCATCGGGCGGGAGCATTGGACAATTATAGTGACAGCAAACCAGCATTGATGCTCTGAAAAAAAGGATATTCAACCCTATGCGCTCGGTGCACATGGTTTGGTCTATTTAGCTTTGTGGAACAGCCAGCATCAATAAAAAAAAAGTATATTGCTCAGCCTGATTGATGGGTGAGGACTTAGGGGACCCCAAAGGTTCCACGGACACCCTACTTGAGGACCATTGACATAGCTGTTGCTGATGCCACCTGGCTGCTTTCTTTTCTGGCCTGTATTCAACCCCACAAGGGCAGCACCAAGATACTGAAACAGCATTCGCCGTTCACCATAAGGCACCAGGAAAGCCAAGAGGCATAAGAGGTCACGGAAACCCTGGATATGGAATCTCTCTTCAAACGAATGAACGAATGAGACAAGCTTTACGATGCATTTATAAGAAATAAAGACATCAATCAATTGTTCAAAGACAAAAAGATATGAAACAAGTTTAGCAGCGACACAAAGAAGTCTTAAGCAAACTATTATAAAAATAAATTCACTGCAATTCAACATAATCTAATGAAAGTATGGAAGAGAGCAAAAGAACTGATGTCTAAGTTAATTAGCACTATCCCCAGTGTCCTTAAAATAGATGGTGTTGATTATTCGGGTAGGACACTCGCAAATTTGTGTAATGCCCATTTTTTTTACACTCGGGCGCTCCAACGTCATCCTCGTTCCACGTAAAAAAATGAATTTTCTATGTCGACACGCCCACCAGGATCTACATTTCTATCACCAACCACGGAGACCCAAGCTTTTACCGTTAAAAATTCATTAGAAAACGGCGGCACATGTGGCGATGATGAATTAAAAGTTAAACCTATATGCTAACATAATTGGCCTCCCTTTCTTTGCAATCTGTGATAAACTATTAGGCACAGGGGTATCTGCTCCGAAACTAGAGGTCGCCCGAGTATCAATGATACACAAAGGTGGAAAATGAATACTTTGAATAACTAGAGACCCATATCCATATTGCCAATACTCTCGGAAGTAATAGAGGCGATAATAAATTCAAGGATGTTCGACCATTTTAGCAAACATAATCTCCTCGTAAAACAGCAATATGGTTTTCAGAAAGGGAAATCTACTGAAGAAGCTTTACTGAATATTAAGAACAAAATTTTACCTAATTCGGAAACCAAGCTCTATAGTCTATACATTAGGGTTTTTTTTTTTACTTCAGAAAAGCCTTTGATTCTATCAAGCATGAAATAGTTCTTCAAAAACTTTTATAATTATGGTATAAGAGGTCTTGCCCTACAACTCTTTCAAAGTTATTTATCAGAATGTGTCCAATAACCCTCTTGGTTGGGAAAAATCAGAAATTGCCAATATACATTAGGGCGTTCCCTAAGGATCAATCCTTGGACCGCTTCTATTCCCGATGTACATTAATGTAATTGCTAACATATCACATACACCCGATATTGCACTCTATGCAGATGACACAAATGTATTTTTTTTCGGGTGCAAACATAGATGAGCTTGAAACATTAGCGAACAACTGGATGATAGCGCCAAGTATGTGGTTGGCATGCAACGAATTGTAATTAAACGTTGAAAAACCTAAGTAAATGGTATTTAGAGTAACAAATAGAAAGATTAGTCAAAAACTAAACCTTTGATTTAGGAACTCAGAAATTGGTTACGTAAAACCCCACAAGTTTCTAGGGGTATTCTTTCAAGAAAAATCTAAATTGGTCTCATCATACTGTTCGAATTCGACCCGACATATCACGGGCAATCGGAATTATGAGTAGGCTCAAATATGTTCTTCCGGTTTGGTTAAAGCGCCAGCTGTACTATACTCCTGTTCATTCTCGTTGAAGCTATTGTAGTTTAGTATGGGGTACATGCTCAAAGACCTGCTTATCTTAGTTGCTTCTTCTGCAGGAAAGAGCAGTGCAGTCTATTGCCAATGAATCATATCGGGAACACTCCTGCCCATATTTTATCGAGTACTGCCTTCTAACAATAGAACAATCACTAGCTCAGAAATTGGCAACATGCATGTTCCACAAAATTAAACTACACCCCAAGTTTGTGCAAGAAAATTACATCAGCAGGGCATCCACATACGCCTTGCGTCATATTCACTACCTACAGTCAAGGATACATACAAACTATGGTAGACAATAGATACTTAATCAGATTGCACAATTATTAAATAACCATCCTGAAATACTGTCCTCAATTAATAGCTCTAATACAATACACACATTTAAAACCACCTTAAAAAAAAGAAAAGAGGTTTACAACTCCCTGTAACGCCGAATTAGAGTGCAGCTCTTGAGGAGGAGGAGGAGGGAAGGGTACCGAGGGGAATGTATATCCTTCCTCCTCTCCTGTTCGCCTCCCATTTAGGGGATAATTTTCCGCTAAATTTAGCGGGGAAATTTTCCCGCTAGATTTAGCGGAGAAATTCTTCCGCT